TAATTACTGTTTAGTTTTTTAATATATAAATATTTTGTAAAGAATAAATTAGAAGCTATTTATTATTAACTTATCAACAGTTGTATTAGAGTGGAAAAAATATTGTTTTTTAAACTGAAACTTGACTTTAAATAAAAGTATAAATTGTTTTTTTAAATTAAGTTTTTATTGAGTTTATAAAATGAAATATTAGCAACTATTTGATTTTTCTCTTATTTTAGTTTACACTATAGTGTTACATAAATTTTATTCAAAATATTAATATTTATACATCTGTTATAAACAATATTCTGTATATTGGGTTAAATGAATGTTTTGATTTAATCTCAATCTTACGCTCTAATGGCAATACCTTTTAATTCTATAATATTTCACAATGAACATGTTTGAAAATTTTTATAATAATCGTTTTAAAATCAATTTAGTATATATTCATATTTTATAAACTCAAGAATTAATTTCAAAGTTTGTCAGAATTTTAAGGAGATGAGTGAATCAAGTATAACCATCCCGGTGTCCACTATCTATAAGCCCACATACGCTCACGATTTCTACAAATTACCGGATGAACCGGTCAAATACTGGGCCCAACAGGGAATACATATCGGCAGGTGTTTAGGTGAGGGGGCCTTCGTTGCCGTCTATGAGGGCTCGTATGGAGCGGAGGCTATACTTCCCGAAAGTAAGTCTAAATACAAGGGAACTAACTTTGCAGTTAAGGTCATTCATATACGATATCATCCCTATGCTCCCGGCGAACAAAACAAAGACAAAATAGACGAAAACACACGACAGGAAATGGACGTCACTAATCGGACCGATATATTGCACCCAAATATCATTGAGTATCACTTTGTGGCAGAATATCCGCCCAAATCAGAGAAAGTATGCGATCACGTGTTCATATTCATGGAAAAGGCTATGTTTCCGTTGCAGGACTTATTGAATTGCTTGATTAAATTGAGAGCGCAGGTACCCATCAACACCGGTATTACATGGATTCGAGGCATATATAGCGCTGTCCAACACTTGCATAGCGTTAATATCGCTCACAACGATTTGCACAGTTATAACATCTTCGTGTTGGGAAGTATTGACCAACAAATCGGAAATGACTTCCGGTTCACTAATATTCAGCTCAAAATCGGTGACTTCGGGAAGTGTGCAAACATATCGGGACAGTCGGGTCAGAGTGAGAGTCAGAAGCGCTTAGACATGGAGAAAACAGCGCTTATGTTGATCTCAATGTGCGATAGGATTGCCTTTCCTGAAGACATTCGCAAGAAGAATGTGGATCTTCTCAATCAGGTCTACCAAAACAAGCTAACCATTGATCAGTTTCTCAGCTCACAGACACTCTCTGCACCAGAAGGTCCCGACAATTGGACTATACTTTGCACTCAATAGGTCTTCATTTCATACAAGAATAGAGAAATATATTTAAAAAGATTCTCAATACTAATAAAACAAAATACAGAATATAATGGGAAGTGTTGTTTATCCTTGCTAGACTATCCATAACTCATAGTTCCCATTCGGTTTGCATGTCATAAGTATTTATTGATTAATGATTAAGTGATTAATAAAAGAAACTGAACAGGGTGATTGATTGAACGACAATTATATTGATATGTCAAATAACAAGACCACTCAAAATAAGCGCTTTTTATTGCATAACACATCACGTGATTTACACATGACTTGTATTGATAACAAAGTTATAAAAGTAAACATAACTTCACTTTTTGGTCATTTAAATCATATTTCACTAATTGTTTCATAAATTAAATGAAATGTCGTTAAGAGTTTGTATCAATAGATATATATTGGGCTCAAAACTAGACATAACGTACAAAATGAGACGAAAATTAAGTGAAATAAGTGTTGAAAATATGAAAAATATGCCTAAAAATGAAGTCTTACTCGAAGACAGTTTCACTAAAGTGAAGCACCCATTGGTTACTCGCGAGGCAAGTGGTGAATGTGCGGATCAATTGGTGACAATGTACTGCTGCGGGCCCACCGTCTACGAGGACAGCCATTTGGGTCACGCCATCACTTACTTGAGGTGTGATCTCATGCGGAAGGCTCTTCACTATTACCACAACATCCATGTAGTGATGGCTATGAATATCACAGACATCGACGACAAGATCATCGCCAAAGCGATTGAGACGAACACTGACTTCAGGAAAGTGTCTAATATTTACTTGAAGTCATTCATGGATGACATGAAAGCGTTGAACATATGGGACGCCGACTGCTATCTGCGAGTCAGTGACCACTTGAAGACAATCATGGATTACATAAACACTATTCGTGACAAAGGGTTGGCGTATATCAGCCCTAATAATGACATTAACTTTGATTTCGAGCACTTCGTCAAGACATTGAATATCTCCGATACGATCGGAACCGATGGCACTCTTGTGAGCGACAAATCTGTGGGCAAGAAGTCGCCCAAAGACTTCACTCTATGGAAAGCCGCCAAACCGGGAGAACCCAAATGGGATTTATTGACCACCGATGGCATGAGTATAGCCGGAAGACCCGGTTGGCACATAGAGTGCAGTGCTTTGTGCCACAAAGTGTTTGGCCATCGATTGGATGTGCATTTCGGTGGCATTGATCTCCGGTTCCCTCACCATCACTGCGAGTCCTGTTGTAGTCATGCCTTTCATCAAACAGTTCCCTCGAAGCCATTGTATGAATGGGTTCGGATTTGGCTCCATTCCGGTCATCTCAACCTCATGTCCGACAAAATGAGCAAATCTTTAGGAAATGTTATTCTAATCAAAGATTTTCTTAAGAATCATTCGCCAAATATTCTGAGGCTGTCATGCATTACATCTCATTATCGCTCACATCTCGTATATGAAGACAATCTCTTACATGAAATGAAAAGTATTGATAAAAGACTTCTCGATTTCAAAGAAGGTTTAAATTTTAAAATTAGTCAACTTTCTGCCGAAAACCTGCCCTTTGATTGCATTGAAACCCAAAAACATGTGAAACAATCGGATTTTACTGATGCTATCGATGAAACAGAAAGACTTATTTCAGAGGGAATTGCAGATGATTTGGATCTAGAAATGGGTTTAAACGCTATCCTACTTCTGGCAAAACGATTCAATTCAATGAATAACTTCACACTTTTGGAGTTAATCCGAACTAAACAAGTGCTTAACAAATGGTTAGATAGTATGGGATTAAAGTATAGCAAATCTTATGGCGACAACGATGGTCAGAGTGTCACCGAATTAGTTGTTATCAAATCATTTTCAAAATTCCGAACTGATGTCAGAAACATAGCTTTGAATTCAATAAAAAGCAGCAAAAAGTTGTCATCGAATCCAGAGTTGGCTTCCAATGAGATGCAGAAGAGTGGCCAACAGTTGCTGTCTCTGTGCGATGGCCTTCGCCAACAGTTGGATGGTTTTGGCATCAAATTTAAGGCCAGTTTTATTAAAACATATTTTTTTATCGAATTGAATCAAATTAAAACATTTTGCGAAAAACTAATTTCTATTCCTGTTTTCAATTATATAAATATATTTTTTTGTTGATTTCATTCAGGATTTGCCGGTTTCTAAGCATTAAAAATAGAATTGAGTTTAGAGTTTGAAGTGGTTTTTGTTGCGGATAATGACACTGAAAATAGTGGCGAATCGATGGACTCATCCAATGGATTACAGTTAAGAAGAAAAAAGATTGTAATTACAGAGAGAAAGAGAGGGATAGGGATAGGGATAGGGAGAGCACACCTGAAACTACTTGTGCGCAATGACCTCATTAGTTGGTTTGCGCTATAATTGCAATTCAAATCACTAATCAATAAATAATTCCTATAATAAAAATTACATTTAATGACTGAATGACTGCTCACAACCATTAAATTACAAGTTTTTAAATATAATTTTGCGAATATTGTTTTTCTCTCTCATTTACTTTTCGTTGAATAAACTCTAAAATATTTTTACCAGTTTTTTGGTTCACTTTTCATTGATTACACTTTCAATAAAAAATTGCTTTTTGCACTACATTAGAGTTAAAAATGAATTATATTTAAACGCCAACTCTAGTTATCAAACGGTTAATTATAAAAACCTTTTCGAGTCAAACGCTTTTAGTTTGAAATTTGAATTTTTAAGTAAAAATAAATATTTTCTATTTTAAGTCACTTTTCATATATTAAAATGTCAATCAATAACTTTGATTATATAAGTAGTTAAAATAATATCGGTTTTCACTTTAAATACCTTAGTAATTGATATGAAATGATAGTATTGACAGCAATGATTGTATGATTAATTTTAAAGCTTACTTTGACTACCGTAATAGATTACGGTATATAACACTGTACTTTCAAATTATTAAATTAATAACTCTCTTGTGTCAAAAACCTTTAATACTTTTTTTACTGAACTCTAAAACTCTACATCACTTTAAAGACTTCTAACATTTTTTAAATGGTATACTTATTGTTAATTTAATATGCAAATCTCATGTAAAATGATTAACTGTAGAGATTGACAGTAGCGTGTGTACAAACTCTAAAAGATGTTTTGATATAAAATTATATAAAATTTATTGACACTATTTCTTGAATATCTGAAATGAAAACAATAATAAATAATACGAGCTATAAATACTTTCTTTAGATCTAAAGATAATAATTAAAATAATAGAGCTATAAATCAAAGGAGTATCCAATGAATCTAAAACCGACCTCTAATTTGTATCCATACATCTTACTATTGCATGCATTTGTGTGACAATTAATTTTGGATTAAAAATAAAACAATTGTTTTCGTGACCACATTTACAAACTTTCTCTAAAAATAGAAAAATGATAACTAATTAAATGTGTTTGAATGTAATGATATCACACTCTTTTGTTGGTCACATCTCATTCAATGGCAACTTTTAGGTCATTTGATGGGCGAACAGGTTTTGGTGGATAAGAAGACAATTTGTTAGCACTTATGAGCCGGGATTACACTTTATTTTACCAGCAATATTTAATTATAGATATAAATACACTTTTTATAATGAGAACCACTGGATACAACCGAAAAGTGATGAAGTTATTAAGATGGTTAACGACATACTGTATAATATAATTGTTGGCTAAACTAATATTTTGATCTAAATATTAAAATTCAAAGTATTATTTTAAATAAGGATTCAGTGACTTGGCATTTATTATGAAATTAAAAGTAGATTCAGTGCAATCAAACTGAATATAAAACGACAATTAATAGAGGATTGGCTTTAAATTACATAATAATTCAATCATAAGTTTGATATTAATATGTAATCATGAAAAACTTTTATGACCTGAGGTTATGTCACTTATAGAAAAAGATGATGTCTGACGCCATGCCCTTCATATGACCAGGGTGCCAAATATATTAAAATTAATTATAAGTTAAATTAAAACTTAGTTAAATATAAACGTGTTCATTTCATTTTAAAAACATGGTTTTGCATTTAATTTGACAAGGAATACAGTACATAAATCTGAGAGTTATGGGATATTACACCCTCAGTGAACACATTATATAAATCATACTTTATATGACCCTTTCATTCCTGGAATCAAATATATTGGTAGTGGACGCCCAGTTGGTCGGGTGCACCCAACCACTAACTCAGTAATGTGCCCACACTTATAGCATCTCAATACCTAAAAATAAGTTTGGTCAATAATCCAAATCCAGTTCCCCTCAATCACTATTTCAGTATTACCGGTAAGAATTTTTTAGATTCATAAATAAATTAGAGATATATTTTATTATTCAAATAATTCATGTCATCACAAATCGGATCAAAATGTTTCAAATGTTCGTAAAATCTTTGCATTCAAACATATTTGGTTCAAACAATTGAATTGATAACAAAACACAAAACTATTTAAAACAAAAATTATTTAAATATAGATTTGTTTTGAATATTTGATTCGAAAATAATCTGATAATTTTTACAAATAAATTCACATTTATTTTGAACAATGATTTAATTTTGTTGCATTACCAGTGCATTAATATTCAGCGAATGATTTCCCATAAATATCTACAAAATCTAAATGAACCCAATTTGTTTATAACGATTTATAACGACTCCGATATTTGCTTTTAAAAAGAGTTGTAAAATAGCGGAGAAAATATTTACATTTAATTGGTATAAATTTAATCAAAAATATACTAATACTGATTACTATTCATTGCCTAATCGACAAAACCTCCAAAATTATATACCGATTTAGATCCTGTTCGTATAATTTTGAATCCACAGCGCTTTACTTGAATTTTAAATATCAATTTTGTATTAAACTGTTTCATAATTTATTGTTTGCTATAAATTGTGTTAAATTGAGATAAAATTCAAATTATTAAAGCACTCTCGATATTAATAGAGAGACAATAAAACAGTTAATTATCAAAATTAATGAACGCTGGCATTAAGTCTAATAAATTATTAACCAATTTATTTAGAGATTTCACTATTAATTCAATTAATTTTGTCCCACTTTTGGCTCACTTTTTATTCAAATAGTAATTAAAGTGTTTGTGTAAAGAAACCCATTTAGGGAGAAGCCATATATTTAAGCGAAGTTTTGTCTTAAAGACTATTAATCCTAAAAACTCATTTGTATTATAATTAGAATTGTCATAAAATAGTCATCAAATTCATATTTTAAGATGAGATCAAAAGCTGATCTTATTTTGAGAGCAAACAACTTTTATATCAACTCAACGAGAGTTGAAAAGTTTCGCTAAAAAGCAAAAACAAGTCATTTACGAAGAAATCTATTTTACATTTAGATCTCTGTTTACTCTTAAAGAACTGCTTTTAATATATGGACTCAAAACAAATTGTTTTATAACTTTGGTTTTGTTGGTAACGCGAAAATTGTCGCTTTTTTGGTCAACTCATATGATATAAGTCTAAGTGTTAATTGTTGTCATAGTATATAACCATAAGCTCAGCCGTGAGGTCAGTCACCCTCTCGGCTATTTATAAAGCGTGAGGTAATTGTATGTATGTCTTGAGTGGAGTCCAAAACCGAGTTAGAGATCATTCGTTGAGTTTTGCTGAACGCATACAAGACTTCAGTCGATTCAGTCGATCAGTGAAGCAGAGACAGAGCAGTCAAGACTCTATTGATTGGCAAACATTGTCTAAACTCTGAACTCACTTCACTTCATGAATAGTATTACATACGATACTCAATCGACAGTGAGACATACATTCCGCACAACTACTGCACACCAACTCTTGTCATTCATATTCGTGTCATTATTTTCTTTCTTAAACTTTATTTTTTAATTGTAAATTAAGTTTATATTTATCAACACAATATGGATATAATATGCGTGTGATTTGATTTAAAAAGTAAGTGTTATTTTGCGATTCGTACTTTTATTATTTATTATTGTATTTAAGTTAATTTATAATATTCATGCGATATTTGATAAGATTTATATACTGCTATTAATCTATTATATTAAACTGTAAAATAAGTTGTGATTTATCTTATAAAGTTTAGATTTTATTGAACATAAATTTAAGTGATTTTTTTTATTGATTCTTATAAGTTTTAAGTTATACTGTAACCGAGAATACCATATACACTATATTATTAACTCAAATTCATGATATGTTGTAAAATGATTGTTTGGTTTTAACAATATTTGAAATGTAAATTTGCATATAATTTTATATTCAATTCTCTATTAATTTTATTTATGTGTTTTGAGTCCACTAAATGTTAAACACGAACATAATTTGCAAATAAATTTAGGTAAAAATTTGCTCTTAATTTATTATATATTGAAATTAATTATTCAATACTCAAGAGAATTTCATTTAAATGATTTCTATGAAGGAGAGAGAGAGAGAGAGAGAGAGAGAGAGAGAGAGAGAACTTTATATTCATCAAGCATTTTCCTAAATTGAATTAAAATCTATAATCAAATAAACATTTATGTAAATAAAGTTTCAATAGATTTTGGGAAATATTTTAATAGTTTTCTTATTAAGAACCAAAAAAGTCCAGAAAAGATATATCGGATCTGATAGTCGACCCAAAGCTGAAATTTAGATGTTTTGCCCCAAAGACTCATTTCTTGATCAGACACTCAAAAATTCAAAACTAATTGAAAACTCAATCGATTAGTGAATGATTTGAGAGATCTTTAACTCATCCTTTTAACCCAATATTGCTTTTAAAATTTCAAATAACTTGTTATATATTTTTATATCATGAATTTGCCAGTTTTTTGAGTAGTAATATTAAACAAAATTGAATTAAAATCATATTTATTTAAAAATAAAATTACAAAATAGAGAGCAAACGAATAAAAAGTCTAAAAGATTGAAATTAGGAGCTCTGAACGAAATGACCACAATTTTGAGTATATTTGTTACGAGTTATTATATTTGTATGTATAGTTATAGTATATATTTGTTATTATTTATCCGAATATAGATTCTGTATATAATTCTCACGTTTTTCACAAATTTTGCAAAATATCTTATTTTTAATAATCAAATAAGACACAACTTGTTATGCTTATTTATAAACTATTTATATATAATGTTTTCTGTTGAATGAATGTATTTTTGCAATTTTAAGAAAATCTCATATGAATGAAGCAAATAAAGAAAAATATACGAAAAATGAATATTAAATTTCGCCAAATTCATGATGAGTTGCACTTAAATGTTGACCTCTTTTTGTGTCCCCTTTCTATTAATTTCCATCATTTCTATTACTAATTT